TCCCCTCCCCCTCCCCTCTTCCCTCCCCCTTGGCAACTACAAGTCTGCTCTCTATGTCTCAGTCTGTTTCTGTTTTCTAGATAGGTTCATTTGTGCCACATTTTAGATTCCACATATAAGTGATATCATATGGTATTTGTCTTTCTCTTTCTCACTTATTTCACTTAACATGATAATCTCTGGTTGCATACATGTTGCTGCAAATCTCAGCACCAGTTTTTTTTTGTTCTTTTAATTTTATTTATTTGTTTATTGGCTGCATTGAGTCTTAGTTGCTGCGCGTGGGCTTTTCTCTAGTTGCAGTGAGTGGGGGCCACTGTTCACTGTGGTGCATGTGCTCCTCATTGCGGTGGCTTCTTTTGTTGCGGAGCATGGACTCTAGACATGCGGGCTTCAGTAGTTGTGGCTCGTGGGCTCTAGAGCACAGGCTCAGTAGTTGTGGCGCACAGGCTTAGTTGCTCCGCGGCATGTGGGATCTTCCCGGACCAGGGCTTGAACCCATGTTCCCTGAATTGGCAGGCGGATTCTTAACCACTGTGCCACCAGGGAAGTCCCTCAGCACTTGTTTTAACTCACTTAGTTTATAATACCTTTGTATACATCCCAGAACCTCAAGGTTCCAGCTCCTTTTCAGACAGTGTGGGGCCTTACCTGTTTAAACCATACGCACACACACACATACAATAAGATTTCCTCATAGCTAAAATAACATTCAACCAGTGTAGATATTAAAATTTTATGTTTTCTTGGGATCAGCCTTTCTATTTGAACTACCCCTCAAACCTAAAACCTCAGCATTTATCAACTTCCTCTTACCTGATCACTATTATCAGTTTTTCTCTCTTCTGTGGCTTTCTCCAAAGCCTGCTGCTTGCAGGAAACAATGATTTTACTTTCATTTGTGTCTCTTTAAGTATCCACTGTTGGGATTCCTCAGGCCTGTGCAGATGTACTCTGAGTGCTGTTGTGGTGACTGGGCCAGTAGTTGCCCTACTGTCACCAGGCAGGTGACTGCATGAGGCCACCTGAGTATTCCAGTACTCCTGCTCCTTTTATTTCACTTCCAAAAGGTCCTCAGTTATACACCCCCACCACCCCCACCAAATGTAGTAGACACAACCATATTACACGCATTCAGTTACAACAGTGCTAAGACCCAATTATTTGATAAAATAAATATTTACTTAGTTTTACTGATCCAGTAAGTTAAATGACCAGAGGAACTTTAGCATCATTATTCAAAAAGAAGGGTTACCTTCCTGGGGTTCCCCAAGTTCAGTGAAGACATACTGAGCCAGTGGCTGTAATAACAATAGCCACTCGCATTTCTGGAGAACTGGCTTGTTCTTTTAGTCCTCCATAGCTTTTATGGTTGGCTGCTGACTAATATTGTAACAAAAGATTGGAAAGAATCCAAATGCCTATCAGTAGGAGACTCTTGAATAAACAATGGTACAGCTACAAAAAGGAATGAGAAAGATCTCTGTATACGGCTACAGACAGATGTCCAGAATATATTGTTAAGTAAAAAATGAAGGTACAGGACAGTTTGTGTAGTATACCTCATAAAGAGGGAAAATACAAAGATGTATATATGTTTGTTTATATTTTTCCAAGAAACAATGCAAGAGTAAAACAAAAACCAATGAGAATGGCTGCCTATACAGGGAGGGAGAGATTAGAGATGGAAGCTAGACCTCTCTGAATGTACCTTATTTTATAGTTTTGATTTTGGAGCTTTGTAAGTATCTTACATAAAAAAAAAAGTAAAAATCAAACACACACTGAAATAACTAAACTGTATACCACAATAAAATCTTAAATTGAGTCCATATTTTTGTTAATAATATTAGTATTATTTTGAAATGTACATTCAGATAAAGCAAAGATTATGTAGTGTCATTAGGAACCAAGATTCTCAGGATAAGAGAGAAAAGATACAAGCATAAAATCCAAGGATTTAATTAAAACCCTGTAATCTTAAATATGAATCATAAATATTAATATAAACTCATGACACTTTCCTTTTTCTAAAAGGTATGTATTTTATAGCTTTGTCCATTGAAAAGACCTAGAAGCAGTGACAACCTATTAGCAGTTAGCATCCTTATCATCCAGATTGTTGTCTCTAAATCCCGTTTCTCAGAGAGATTATTGATTGTGTGCTTGGAGCAGGAAATGTACAAGATGGACCTGCTCTAGTTTGTCATACTAGAAATAAAGGAAACTAGATGTTTGATGATGTGAAAAGATATAGAACTGATCTGAAGGGGCTCCCCTTGGCCAAAAAAGGGACAATTTGAGCGTTAAAAAGAATAATGACTTGAACTTATTTACAAAATGGAAATAGACTCACAGACAGACTTAAGGTTACCAAAGGAGATAGCGGGGGGAGAGGAGGAGGAGATAAATTAGGAGTTTGGGATTAACACATACACACTACTATATATAAAATAGATAAACAACAAGGACCTACTGTATAGCACAGGGAACTATATTCAGTAATAACTATAATGGAAAACAATCTGAAAATATATACATATATATGTATAACTGAATCACTTTGCTGTACACCTGAAATGAACACAACATTGTAAATTAATTATACTTCAATTTAAAAAATGGTTAAAAAAATAATGGCTGCAATGGATTGAAACTCATCCAGTGTATAGCATTCTATGAGTTCATAATGATAAGCTAAAGAAAAGAGTCAAAACCACTTGAATCACATTTGGTGGTTCTAGAGCACTAACTCATTATTCAGAAAATTGACGAATGAAGCAATTAAGCATTTTAAAAGTCTCATATTTTTGATGAATAGACAGTTCATCCTTTGGATGTCTGTTAAAAGATCCACTTCCTTACATTCAGTCTCTCACTGCCTGTTTATATATGTGTGTGTTTATAAAATCTTGGAGAAAAAAAGATAAGGTTGGATTATGGTTAATACACTTCAGCCTTGTAGCTCAAAGTAGGAAGTTGGAAAGACAAACTGCCACGTGTGCAAAAACCTGTATTTTTCCGTCTGTCTGCGTAACCTGACAGTCTTTTGGGCCTTAGCCTTGTCCAACCTCTTATTTCTCCTTTGGGTGTGACTTTAGATTTCAGTGGTCTCTAACAGATTTGAAAGGCATTGAGCAAAACACTGAGTTCTAAAAAAAACAAAACACCGAGTTCTGTTCATTTGCTAGGAATAAAACCATAACCTTCATACAAGGCTTTTTTCATAAATAATATAGAGAGTTTGAATTTACTCTCTGGACCCTGTCAGCGTGCCAGCTTGTCCTTTTAGGCCAAAAAAGGCTATATAGACCTCGGCTGGAATAGCAAGCACAGCTGTTTCTGTACTGACCAAATGAGGCATGTTATGTGCAAAGCCTTTAGAGGCTGTTCTTTTTTTCTTTCCAAAAGAATCCCCAAGGCCTGAGGGACTTGCAAATACTATTCTCCCCACTCCCAGTGTTCAGGAAACAATAACCTATATCATTAATAAGTAGAAGTAATATGATCTCTTGGAAAGAACCCAGAATTGGGAACCTGAAAAATGTTTCTGAGCAGTCAGATCTGTGCTTAAACCTAACTTTGTAATTCTGGAATTTTTTTTTTTTTTAAAGGATCAATTTTATTTATTTATTTTTGGTTGTGTTGGGTCTTCGTTGCTGTGCGTGGGCTTTCTCTAGTTGCGTCGAGCGGGGGCTACTCTTTGTTGCAGTGCACAGGCTTCTCATCCTGATGGCTTTTCTTGTTGTGGAGCACGGGCTGTAGGTGCGTGGGCTTCAGTAGTTGTGGCATGCAGGCTCAGTAGTTGTGGCTCGTGGGCTCTAGAGCGCAGGCTCAGTAGTTGTGGCGCACGGGCTTAGTTGCTGCGTGGCATGTGGAATCTTCCCAGACCAGGGATGGAACCCATGTCCCCTGCATTGGCAGGCGGATTCTTAACCACTGTGCCACCAGGGAAGTCCCTGTATTTGTTTTCAAATTAACATTTTTTTTAAGTTTTCGGTTCATCTTTTTTTTTTTTTGTTGTATTTTAAAGCAATTTTTTTTTTTTTTTTTTTTTTGTGGTACGCGGACCTCTCACTGCTGTGGCCTCTTCCGTTGCGGAGCACAGGCTCCGGACGCGCAGGCCCAGCGACCGTGGCTCACGGGCCCAGCCGCGATCCTCCTGGACCGGGGCATGAACCCGTGTCCCCTACATCGGCAGGCAGACTCTCAACCACTGTGCCACCAGGGAAGCCCCTAAAGCAAATCTTTGATAATATAGCTTTTCACTGTAAATACTTCCTTACTGGCAGTTTACTTAACCTCTGAGGGCCCCCCCTACTTAAATGGAGAAAATATTCCCTGCTTCATTATTTCATAAAAAAGCTGTGAGAGAAAAAGGTGAAAATACTTTGAAAGTGTGCTAATGAAATGAAAGGTACTATTGAATCTAGATTATTTCAGAGTGTCATCTCTAATATAAAAATTTTGATTTGTTTTGAAATGGGCTCACCGAAAATAGTGAATCAAGGTGAGTCTATCATGTAAAGATTCATAAATTTGGTTTCATTTTGAACTGGTTCTCTAGATGTTATATGCATTTTTTAAAAGGCTAGTTTCATTTTGTTGTTATAGTTAATTAGAGATAAATATTTGGGAAAATGTAATATTCAGCAAACCAACATGATTATTTCCACTTTCTGAGTCAAGCCCTGAAGGCCATTCTCTTCCCCCACAAACAGAGCCTGGCATTTCAACATCGGATATTCTGTCTTGGATTAAACAAGAGGAAGAGACCCAGGTCGGCACCCCACAGGAGCCCAAGGAGAGTGACATGTGCAAAAGCACCTATGCCGGTGAGTACTGAGGCGCCCAGACCCAGCTTATGCCAGGACCACTGAGAAGAAACGGCAGAGGAAGTGGGGTTGTGGATGCAAGGAAGTGGGTGAGGAATGAGGAAAAGGGGGAAAAAAGCATGTTCAAGTAAGTTAGAAATGAAACGGAAATCAAACCAAGATACATTTTAAGTGAGAAAACATACTCTTAAGTGTAAAGACAAATTAGAAGTGTCTGAGGAAGAAAAACAAGTGCATACAGATGCACCAGAAGTACGAGTATGGGGAAGGACAGAACATTTGAAGAGCATGCAGAAAGGACAGAACAAAGCTAGGGGGTGGGAGAGACAAGCAGTGGAGACAGCAGTGTCTTGGGAGAGGCACAAATGGGAATGTTAATGAAGAGCTCTCCCTCAGGAAGAACAGTAACATGAGAAGAAACATGCATCTTCTAAGACATTTAGCACCATCTGTATTTTGCCATCTGAACCAGAAGAGAATCTCAAGGTCAGAAGAGACATGATCGTTTATGCAACTTAATGCAACCTGTTTAACTTCTATGCTCTGTGCTTAGACCCTGGGGAAAAAAAAAAGACAGTTTCTGCTCTTCAAGAAGTTTATATTGGGGACACACATATCAGTGCTAGGCATGCCTATTATTAAATGTCAAGGGTGAGTGGGATGGATGACTTGTATACAAGAAATAAGAAGTTCAGAGAACATCACATCAGTTTTAGTTTAGGTATTTAGATAAGGCCTAAAGAAGGATGCGAAGGGACTTCCATGGCGGTCCAGTGATTAGGACTCTGCGCTTCCACTGCAGGGGGCTTGGGTTCCATCCCTGGTTGGGGAACTAAGATCCCCGCAAGCCAGGATGTGAAGCTAGAATTGGCCTTAGAAAATTGGTACTATGTGATTGGGTATAATCTGGGAAGATGGGAAGAGAGGAGATGCATTCTACAAAAGGGAGGGCAGAATGATCAAAGACATATGAGCAGAAATGTGTACTTTATTTTCCAGGAAAGTAAAGAGACAGCTAACTATAGTGAAGGACTTACCTGGCAGAATACAAAGGAACAAGATTAGATAAATACATGATTTTAGGCCTAATCACAATAGGCAACAGAGAACATTTCAGAGCCTGTGAGCAGAGGTGAATCATAATGAAAGTAATGCTGGGAAGATTGATGCCAGGGTTCTTCCTGTCCAAACGGGGAGTGCTGAAGAGGTTCGGTAGTAAATTCTCCGACGATTGGCCTCAGGGACTACAGACACCCTGGTTATTATCTCAGCCCTCCACTGACTTCCTTATCTGGGCCAATGAGGAGCTCAGAGCAGCCTGTCAGAGCTGGGCAGGGACACAGGAGAGTTGCTGGGACACCTGTTGTCGACAGGTGTGACTCTGAGTCCTTTCTTTCAGACGAAGAGCTTGTCATCAAAGCTGAAGGCCTCGCCAGAGCCTCCCTGTGCCCCGAGATGCCCGTCACCTTCTCTTCTCCACCAGCAGCAGCTAAGGATACGTTTCCCGACGTGGCCTTCAAAAGCCCGCAGTCTGCGCCCATGGCGCCGTTTGGACGTCCAGCCACCGACCTGGCCGAAGCCTCTGAGGGACAAGTGACTTTCACTCAGCTGGGCAGCTACCCCCTCCCGCCTCCGGCCGGGGAGCAGGTGTTCTCGTGCCACCACTGTGGCAAGAGCCTCAGCCAAGACGTGCTGCTGACGCACCAATGCGGCCCCGCGGGGGAGCGCCCGGCCCCCTGTGCCCAGGGCCCCAGGCACTTTCCCCTGCACACCGACCGCGGCCCCCAGCCGCCCGCCAGCGAGAGGCCACCCACCTGCCCGCACTGCGCCAGGACTTTCACTCACCCGTCCAGACTCACCTACCACCTTCGGGTCCACAACAGCACCGAGCGCCCGTTCCCCTGCCCCGACTGCCCCAAGCGCTTCGCCGACCAGGCGCGCCTGGCCAGCCACCGGCGAGCCCACGCCAGCGAGCGGCCCTTCCGGTGCGCGCAGTGCGGCCGGAGCTTCAGCCTGAAGATCAGCCTGCTGCTCCACCAGCGGGGCCACGCGCAGGAGCGGCCCTTCTCCTGCCCTCAGTGTGGCATCGACTTCAACGGCCACTCGGCCCTGATCCGCCACCAGATGATCCACACGGGCGAGCGGCCGTACCCCTGCCCTGACTGCAGCAAGAGCTTCATGCGCAAGGAGCACCTGCTCAACCACCGGCGGCTGCACACGGGCGAGCGGCCCTTCAGCTGCGCGCACTGCGGCAAGAGCTTCATCCGCAAGCACCACCTCATGAAACACCAGCGCATCCACACGGGCGAGCGGCCCTACCCCTGCGCCGAGTGCGGCAGGAGCTTCCGCTACAAGCAGACGCTCAAGGACCACCTGCGCTCGGGCCACGGTGGCGGCTGTGGCGGGCATAGTGACCCCTCTGGACAGCCGCCGGACCCCCCGGGCCCCCTCCTAACTGGGCTCGAAACCGCTGGCCTGGGCGTTAACACCGAAGGTCTAGAGGCCAATCAGTGGTATGGGGAAGGGACTGGAGGCGGGGTTTAGTAAATCTCTCTCCTTTCAGGGTTAGCCGTGCTGGCAGCGGGGCAAGAGGCAAGCCCAGAAGCCCCTGCACCCCGCTAACCCGGTGGTAATGCCTGCCTGGCACGTCAGTGAATTTGGGGTCCTGTGCACTTGACTAGGGGTGTGCTTGAGTTTTGAAACTTCACAAGAGCAGCACATTGTGAAACCCAGGAAGACCTGGAAGAGAGCCCAGCTTCCCCATCTTTTCAAAAACATTACCTAAGCAGAAGTTATAAGAATGTTGCAGAGAGGTTGGAAAGCAAGATTCGGCCTCTGGTGATCCATCACAGGGTAATTTGGCCTCTGGTGATCCATCAGTAGGTAGAGTCAGGTGCGTGGAAGAGCCTCCGAGGCTAGAAGCCCATTCTGCGGCAGAGAATGTTTAACTGAGCCTTTCATCACCTCCTTGATGGTAGGATGGTTCTGGAAGAAAGTGCCCAAGCCTGGGCACCACTCCTGTCCCTCCCAGACAGTGGCTCCAGTTGGCTCACGTGCTTGGGTACTGTCTCTCCTGAAATGATGACTCAAGACTGCCTTCCTAGGTCTCCTAGATAAATTCTTCTAATATATTTTGTTTAATACTGGATGAGCAAAAAATCTGACTTTAAAACCTTCTTAAGGAGAACAGTTCTTTCACTAGCTTAATTTGAAGCATTCAGGCTTTTACTGCCATTTAAACTGCTAGAAACTTTTGCCGGGGTCCTGGTTAAAAATTTGGGAGCAGGATTCTCAGCCCCAGCTTTAAAAGCTAGAGATCCCCGAGAAGTAACAGAAGAGCCTAGAGTTTGTGCCTGAACCATGTTTCTTAGAGTCACTTATGTCATATTCTTCCTTATTGTTTCCAAGCACGCAAGCTGGCTTTTCCATTCCCGGTGTCTGATATTCTGACAGTCATCAGCAGGGAAGGTCACAGCACTTTCCAGCAGCATTATAGAA